TTATCTTGGAGTCTGTATTGCCTTTTTCTGCAGACTCTAGTACTGGGAACAATGTTTTAGTCCGGGGGATTGGGTTGCAAGTTGTCTCTGTTCCATTGCACAGGATTAATCTGCAGTCGGATTTAGTGCAAGGGGAAGTATCAATAGCAGTTCGCCCTTCTTTACCAATAGAGGGCGTCCATCTTCTTTTAGGTAACAACCTGGCTGGAGAACGTGTCTGGCGTGATGTACTGCCCCCTGTAATTGTTAACAATGTTCCTTCTATTCCAGCCGACAGTGACGTTGGTGGTCAGAATTTGACTGTCTTTACAGCTTGTGCCGTGACACGGGCTATGAGTCGTGCCTCTAATGATGATGTTTCTCAGAGTAGAGAGTTTAAGTCTGTTGTTGTGCCTAATTTACCACCATCTCTCTCTCATAGTGATTTTGTTGCAGCTCAAAAGGAGGATGCAACATTGAAAGATCTGTTCGTTGGAGTGTTAACGCCTGTGGAGTTGCGAAATGCATCGCGAGGGTATTTTATTCAGGATGGGTTGTTGATCCGGAAGTGGTCCTCTCACACTGACGACGGGGTTGATGATCCAGTGTTTCAAGTGATAGTACCATGTAAGTTTAGAGACCTGGTCCTACAGACAGCTCATGGGAATGTAGCGGGGCACTTGGGGGTTAGAAAAACCTATGACCGTCTTATGAAGTACTTCTATTGGCCTCGCATAAAGAAGGATGTGGCAACCTTCATTAAGACGTGTCATGTATGCCAGTTGACGGGGAAGCCAAATCAGGTGTTAAAGCCAGCTCCACTTTACCCTATTCCAGCTCTAGGGAAACCATTTGAAAATTTGTTAATTGATTGTGTAGGACCATTGCCTTCATCTAAGTCAGGGAGTGTTTACCTGCTGACGGTAATGTGTCAGTCTACCCGGTATCCCGCTGCCTATGCGTTGCGTACAATCACAACTAGGTCGGTGGTGAAAGCCCTTTCACAGTTTATTTCCATCTTTGGTATCCCTCACACTATACAGAGTGATAGAGGCTCTAACTTTACGTCACGCATATTCAGAGAGGTGCTCGAGCAGTTGCGTGTGAAACATCAGCGTAGTAGTGCCTATCACGCCCAGAGCCAAGGTGCTCTGGAGCGTTTTCATCAGACACTGAAGTCGCTTCTCAGGGGTTATTGTGTCGAGCTTAACAGAGACTGGGAAGAGGGACTCCCATGGTTGATGTTGGCGGCACGAGAGGTAACCCAGGAGAGCACGGGTTTCTCGCCTAATGATCTGGTCTTTGGACATAGAGTTCGGGGGCCTTTAGCGGTCTTACAGGGGGAGCTGAAATGTCCTGAGTCTCCTGTTAATTTGTTGGACTACGTAAATGGTTTTCGTCGTAGGTTGTTTTTAGCCTGTGAGATGGCGACAGACAAACTTACAAAAACCCAACAGAAAATGAAGAGTTGGTATGACCGTCGAGCTGAGCCAAGGGTGTTCAGTCCTGGGGATCAGGTATTAGCATTATTACCGATAGCAAATTCTCCGTTCCTTGCAAAATATACAGGTCCTTATAAGATTGTTCGAAAAGTGTCAGACCTCAATTATTTACTTTCTACACCCAATCGTAGGCGTTCCACTCAGCTCTGTCACATAAATCTGTTGAAGTCCTACTACAGCAGGTTTCCAGTCTCTGTGGCAGCAGAGTCTAGTGACCTGGTTATTCCAGTTTCTTTAGCCGCAGTTGTCGGGGCTCCTAGGGCCATTGAGACTCCCTACATGGGGGCAGAAAGTAGTGGTGAGGATGTGGTAGGACCTGATGACTGTGTGCTGAAACCTCGTCTGAGGAACTCTGAGAAACTGGTAGAGTTAAATACATTGTTTGGACATTTGCCAGGGGAGCGGGCATCAGAACTGTCGTCTTTGTTGTCTGATTTTCCTTCTCTATTTTCAGATACACCATCATGTACTCATTTAATTGAGCATGATATTGATGTTGGTGATGCAGAACCAATAAGACAGCGGTTCTATCGGGTGTCACAAGACAAACAGCGACACCTAGAGGCAGAGGTGAAGTACCTGTTGGAAAATGGTTTGGCTAAGCCTTCCTATTCAAGTTGGTCTTCACCCTGTATATTGGTCAGTAAACCTGATGGGACTAATAGATTCTGTACCGATTATCGTAAATTGAATAACATCACAAAATCAGATTCTTTTCCACTCCCAAGGGTTGAAGATTGTGTTGATCGGGTAGGATCAGCAAAGTTTGTGAGTAAATTTGACCTATTGAAAGGATATTATCAAGTCCCATTGTCATCTCGAGCTCAGGAAGTTTCAGCCTTTATAACACCATCTGGGTTATATTCCTATTCGGTTATGAGTTTTGGGTTACGAAATGCTCCAGCCACATTTCAACGACTTATGAACCGTTTTGTTTCTGGGTTGCAGGGATGCGCTGTGTACCTCGATGATGTGGTTGTGTATAGCGAGGAGTGGTCTGAACATCTGGACCGTATTCGGGCTCTCTTTTCTAGGCTTGTTGATGCTCGCCTCACTGTAAATCTAGCCAAGTGTGAGTTTGCCCAGGCTACAGTTGCATACTTGGGGAAGATCGTAGGGCAGGGGCAAGTGAAGCCGGTCCATGCTAAGGTGGTGGCTCTTGATAAGTTTCCTGTCCCTACCAACAAAACAGAGTTGCGGCGGTTTTTGGGCATGGTAGGGTATTACCGCAGCTTTTGTTCAAACTTTTCTACAGTAGTAGCCCCTTTGACTAATCTGTTAAAAGATAAAGTGAAGTTTGAATGGACTGTGACCTCTCAAACTGCTTTTGATAATGTCAAGTTGTTGATGACTTCTGCCCCAGTTTTGATGGCACCCCGTTTTGATCAGCCTTTCCAGATGCAGGTTGACGCAAGCCATGTGGGGGCTGGTGCGGTGCTCCTGCAGAGTGATGAGCAGGGGGTGGATAGGCCAACATGTTACTTCTCAAGAAAGTTTAATTGTCATCAGTTGAATTATTCAACTATTGAGAAGGAAACATTGGCGTTAATCTGGGGTCTACAGCAGTTTGATGTGTATCTAGCTGGGGGCGCTGTTCCTATCACTGTCTTCTCGGATCACAATCCACTGACATTCCTCCACACTTTAAAGAGTCCTAGTCAGCGCCTTATGCGTTGGGCTTTATTTTTGCAGCCATACAATTTGCACATACGGCACATTCGGGGCGTGGACAATGTCATGGCTGACTCTTTGTCCCGTGCTCCGGGTGGGCTGGAGTGAATGCTTTGCCTTGGCCTCTATCTCTCTCTCTTCCTGTTTCTCCACTCTTCTTCCGCTTAATCTCCTTAAATGTAGCTTTCCAGGTACCGGGATAATGCGGGAGCTCTTGGTATGCGGGAGGGTGATTGGAGCTGCTGGAGAGTAGAGTGGTTTTTGGCCTGTGGACAAAAGGGTTCCTGTGTCCAGTCCATGTGAATGGGCTGTCAACATACCGAAACGAAAGTTAAGTGCTCATTTTGAGTTTATAGAAATCATTTAAAAAAAAAAATTAAGAATGTTTTGTTATTTTGTTGTGTGGGGTTTCGAACATTTTTTTTGCAGAGGCCTTTAGGGGCCTCTGTCTTAAGGGAGGGGGTGTTACGGACCTGCCGGCTCCTCCTCCTCGTTTTGTCTATTTGCATCTCCCCTACAGGTGAGCGGAGCACAGGTGTGACGGGTTTCCTATGATTCCTTCCAGGAACACCTGGGATGGCTTTATGTATCCTGAGGGGTTTAAAAGCTGGGGAGACCTGGTGGAAGGAGGGCTGCCGCTTCTCCTTCTCTCCCGCACCGTTTTGCTGATTTTGTTTCCTTTTACATGACTTTTCATATACCCTGATTGCACGCTTTCAGTTCTCCTGACTAACACTTATACTGACTTTATTTACTTTACGTTGCTCATTCGTTGTCCTTAATAAACGGTATTTTCTTTCAATCAACTCATCCGCGTGGTCTTCCCTCTCTGTTGCATGGCCAGGCACAGGCAGAACGTAACAGAAGGAAGAAGTGAAGGAGAGGCGGGCAAAGCCAGAAAAGACAGAAGAGGACAAAAGATATCAAGAAAGTTACCGTGAAAGAAAGATGAGCAATAGTTCAAGGCATTAAAAAAACATTTAAGAAATGCAGCAAGTTTTGGATGTTTCCCGAGGGAAATATCAAGGCCAGAAACCTGGCGTTTATAAGTATAGAATACCCATCATGGATTGAAGGGGAATTCACTAAACAGCAGAGAGGGAATAATTAAGATGGACAACACTCAATAAAAGAATGTGGATGTGTGTGTGCGTGTGTGTGTGTGAGTGAGGTGTTATGATCCTTATTGACTCGCCCCGGCAAATGGTCTTGCTTGATGGATGAGATTGTGCCCTGATAGAGAGAGGAAGAGATGGGGACAGATGCCTGATGGAGCTACCAGAGCCTGGACTATCTCTCTCAGTTACTGTAATTTCATACAGGTGCCAAACCGCACACTAGCACACACACACACACACACACACACACACACGCACACAGAGACACACAGTCACACGTGCACACTTAGATACGGACCGTCTTCCAACAGACGGACGGCAGTGTCTGGCATCATTAACCTGGCGTCTTCCTAATTCAGACAGATAGTGGCTGCTTTGTGAGTGTGTGTGTGTGTGTGTGTGTGTGTGTGTGTGTGTGTGTGTGTTCCCCCTGCTTGTGTCTATGTGGTGGTATAGTTGTGCTCTTGCTAAGTGAGAAACTTCCTGAACTCTGGGACGTAGATTTCCGGTGTTATAACTGATTTATAGACATTTAACTAGCACACAGACGGATAAAGCCTAATATAAGTTTCACAGAGCCTTGCCAACACGTCTTACACCCAACTCCTGCTCGGTGGAGTCGACGCTTTCGGTACCCTGGTGCAAACGTTCTCTAGTTGGGAGTGCAAATAGGTTACTAATAGGAGGCTAAGTTGCAGATCCGGGGCGATGTTCTCTGCGTGACTCTTACCTCCCAAGTGGTAGGTTCCTCCTGTGGTAATGGTGAGAGGCAAGGTGGAGCGCACAGCAGACGCCTCCTCGCCGTCTATGGTCAACATGGCAAAGTTCTCCTTGGCGACCAAGCGTATGGCATGCCACTGACCGTCGTTAAGGCCCGAACCTGGAGGGGCGCAGAGTTTAACGTCAAAAAAACACACATAAGTACGGTTTCTTTACACAACACACACTGCTACAGGTTCGTTTCCCAAGTTAGTTTCAGCCGTCTGATTTCTTGGAACAGTAGAATTTCCAATGAGACAAGACAGGGTCATCTATCCAGGTCCAAGTAAACAAAGAAATACAAGTTCTGTCTGTGACATGTCGCTCTTATTTTACTTTGTCATACAACAGTTTTTTCCCCGCAATAATTGCACCCCAATGATTTTCCCGTTGCGGTGAGCCGACTGGCGAATCTGGCTTGTGACATTTAAAACATTGTCGTGCTCCTGCCTCAACCACATTTTTTTCACTTCCTTACATATTCTCATGTGAATGAGAAAGCTCCCCAATTCCTCTTTGCTTCCCTTTTGTTCTCTCACTCCTTCTCTTTACCCCTTTCCAAGTTGAGTGCAGCTTCCAGTCTCAAGGCCCTCGCGTCGCAACTCCATTAACTCACAGAGAACCCTGTTTGCGTCTGAGTTCCGCAGTGCATGTGTGTGCACATGTATCAGTGTGTGCTTGTTGTCTATCTGAGCATTTAAGCTTTGAGCACTCTGTGCAAGTGTGCACAAGTCTGTAATGTGTTGCGTTGTCGTGCTATGTCAGTGTAGTGTGTGCGTGTTCGTGCATGTGAGTATTGTGCTCTTCTTTTCTTCTCTCATCCCTTGTAGCTGTGCTCCATTAAATATGAGTGATGTTTTGGAAAGGGACATTACTACTGGAGCCGAGAGAGAAGTCAGCTCACTCTCATCACCCTGTCCTCTATACATCACCTCTTACTGACAGCAATCTCTATTCACACTGTCCTTTCTCTCCCCCTATGTCCCTGATTCTTTCTCTCAATGCTATGTCTTCATTTCCTTTTCTTTATTTGTGCATTTCACTTTTTCCTTTTAATCTTTTTGTCCTCATGCTCCTCTCCTCTTTTGGCCATCTGCTGCCCTGTCTGCCTTTTCCAATCCGGCTCAACTCACTGCTCCACTGACTGTAATACATCAATAGTAAGGACACATTGTAGCAGAGATCAAGGTACGGTCACATGACAATTGATTTCAGCAGAGTCCGTTTAGTCATGGTTCTGCATGCGCGTCACTACACATGTACCTTAGCTTGCAGCAAGTATCAATACATTGGACCCCCCATGTGTAAGAGAGGGAGAGTGTGTGTGTCTGTTTGTCTATTTGCTTCATCCGTGCCATTTTCTGCAAGTGTGTGAGATCACGGCGGTGACCAAAGAAAATAAGTGCCAAGATGGCCCCTTGTGGAGGTGAGTGACAGCCAGGCCTTGTTCAGAGCAAACCTGGTAAAACATACACAGACACACAACACGCAACAGGAAAAGCATGAATGTGATTTTGCATGAGCATTTCCACTAACTATGCAATGCATTGTTATTGTCATTAAATAAATGTCATATCGGGAATACAATTAGTGGATGGCGTCTGCTTTGTCTGAATGACATAAAAAAAAAGTGCTGCTAGAAAGAGACCTTGAAGTGGTTCTTTACGGGGATCTCATTTATGACAGTACGTTGGTTTGATGTAATCACTATCAAGCTTTCTGCCTCTCTGTAACCTCTTGAATGAAATGGAAAATAGATACTGTGTAACCTTGTCTCCTCTCATCTGTTTTACATCACCTGCAATGGCTTTGAATGATGCGCTTATCAGCGCTGGTGGTGTTATTGAATGCACGCACTGACACACACACACACACAAACATGTGTGTGGCACCCCCTGTCTTTCTGTCAAACACAAGCTCAAATCAGGGACATGCTGGGTGTCTGCAATAGATTAAAAAATTATGGATGATGAAGAAGACTAAGATCAAAGGAACCTGCTCACTTTGCTTTATTTTTTTGTTACGAATGTTTTAAATTAGGGTATTGCACTTGCCACTCTCACAATTACACTGTGAATATGTGTCTTCAACTCAAAATTAACCCATTAAAACATCTGAAAAGTTGACAATGATACCCGTGGACCTAAGGACCTATATTCATTTTATAATTATAGAATAACATTTGACCCATTTGACAGTTTGCTCTTCATTCTCTGTAAGAAAGAAACATTGTTATTCACCATTCCATCCAAGGCTTTTTTTTGTTGTAATAAACAACTAATAAAAATGTATTATTCACGTCAGCAGAAGTATTCATTCAACAGGTGGAATTGGGAAAGCTTGCCAACTTGGTTTCATAGATTGTCTTTTAATCCAGATAATATAAACCTGTTATACCTGAATGTGTAGCTACTGACATTCTGCATAAACAAGTGAAGTGAAGATGTTTATGAGAAAAGCCCTACTTATATCCAAAATAGCTGTCACATTCTTTGTCGGTGCTTTATCCTTTTAAATCGTTCTGTGTTGTGTTGACATAGGTAGCCGTTGTTGTATAAACAGCTCTGGGCATTGCGTCAGCCTACCTTCCTAAATATGGTCACGGACGGCCTTCTTTTGACAACTTGGCACACGATAATTAATGGAAGTTTACTTTGACCTCTATTGCTCACAGTGCATGTGGTCACTGGGGAACATTTGTATAGAGTGCGTTGACTAAAAAAAACTGATTCCATATCACTTTGTGGCATTTTTGGAGGGTTGTGGTTTAACAATGAGGGGTGCAATGCTGCTGGTTTTACTGGTCTGTCTGTGTGGGACATATGCGCAAACAGTACCTAAAACTGCTGCTCTGTCAACTGATCAGAAAATCACGGACATATGGGATGAGCTGAAAGCTCTGAGATTCATTGTGGAGGACCAAACCGTGGACCTGACGAATGCCAGAGCTGACCTGAGAACCCTGATGCGGAAAAGCGATGCTCTAGAGAACGAGAACATAGGTAGTATACATCTATGATGTTCAGGGTGAAGATGCAATGAATAATAATTTGTTAATTGTTTTCTAGCTCAATCATTTAGTAAATGGTAAAAAGAAAAACACGCTAATGCTAACTTCCAGATTGGGCCAAATCCAGGAAATGTTACCTGAATATGTAAATACAAAGTTAATCAAGTTTAGGATTTATTGTTTTTTTTTCAAAATCAACATGAAAACTTATTTCATAACGAGATAAACTGCATAATCTGCTATGTGATGCCAGTTGCAATTTTCGGCATGCACTCAACAAACAAACCCAACAACATCAGACACCACAGGCACCAGACAATCCATGAAGTCAAATATTCATCCTCAGCCTCTATGTAATAAAAGCGATGAACGCCAAACTGACAGCTTCTGTTAACATAGTGGGAGCGATGAACGCTCAGATGGAAGCGACTAAGAATCAACAGCAGCTCAAGGAAAAACTGCAAAAGGCCCGGTGATGATACCTACTTGCTGTTTCTAGAAAACTTGAAAGAGCAGTGAGACATTATTGGCTTTGGTGATTCTAGCACAATCAGCATTGTTGGCAACACTTTTTCAGTGCGACAACCTTCCAGAAGAAGAAGAAGAAGAAGTGATATCAGTTGTAGTACATGATGACGACTAGAAATGTATTTTTGTGAAAAATGTCATACAATTTGGTAATTCCAAAAAGAAGAAGAAGAAGAAGGAGGAGGTGAATACGGATATTTCTAAGACCTAACTTAATAAGACTTGCTGTTTTCACTTTCCCCCAAAATCCAAACAAACTCTACAATAGTAGACCCAACAGATACCAGGGAATGAAAAAGCCAAAGAAGGTTCTTTGAAATATCATCAGTGCCAGTAGACGTTGACAAATCAAAAATGAATTTTTATGAAGAATCCATCAAATACATCTAAGGGCAAATGGCTGCCTTGGTATGGTGGTGCTCATTGCTTTTTGTTGACTTTGTTGTTAATTTTACTTTCTGCCAGGATTCCTACAGCTCTTTCACCAGAGATGAGCTCATGAACATCCGGGGAAGAACTCCAGCTTAGTCACTTCCAACTTTTGTTCTGTGAAATTACCGGACATTCTCGTCAAAGATGCGCTCACCTTTACGCAGTGAAACGCCGAAGGAAAGGGAAGCGGGCTAAGTCGCTTGTGCGACTCCGAAAACACGCTGCCAGCACACCGCTGCCAGGCGCTTACTGTGCAACAAACTGGACAAACTTCAGTTGCCGGCAAGGAGAGACAGAGACTTTTCTACATCCTCCGTTTTGTGCTTCACGGAGACGTGTCTCTGTGGATCGATACCGGACTCCCCGCTCCAGCTGGCGGGCTTCCAACTGCTTAGGGCGGACCGTGACACGGAGCTCTCTGGCAAGGGTGGAGGAATCTGCTTCTATTCCAACAGCAGCTGATGCAACAACATAACAGTGATTCGTCAACACTGTTCTCCTAATCTGGAATCTTTTATTGTCAACTGTAAACCTTTTTACTCCCCCCGTGAGTTTGCTTTATTCGTCCTGGTTGATGTTTACATGCCGCTGCCGGGCAAAGTGCAACAGGCACAACGGACGTCAAGATACGGCGCGTGGAGTGGACCAACCCGGACTCCTTAGTAACTTTATAAAAAGGTAATGTCAGCCATCCATCCATCCATCTTCAACCGCTTATCCGGGGTCGGATCACGGGGGCAACCGCCCCAGCAGTGTACCCCAAACCTTTCCCGGGCCACATCCACCAGCTCTTACTGGAGGATCCCAAGGCATTCCCAGGCCAGTGCAGATATATAATCTCTCCACCTAGTCCTGGGTCTTCCCTGAGGCCTTTTCCCAGCTGGCCGCGCCTGGAACACCTCCCTAGGGTGGCCCCAGGGGGCATGCTTATCAGTGGCCCAAACCACCTCAACTGGCTCAACGCAAAGGAGCAGCGACTCTACTCCGAGCTGCTCACAAATGGCTGGGCTTCTCACCATATCTTTAAGGCAGACGCCAGCCACTCTCCTGAGAAAACTCATTTCGGTCGCTTGTACCCGTGACCTAATTCTTTCGGCCATGACTCATCCTTCATGATCATATTTGAGGGTAGCAAGATTGACGGGTAGTTCGAGAGCTTTGCCCTCCGGCTCAGCTCTCTTTTCGTCACGACGGTGTGGTAAAGCGAGTGCAATACCGCGCCCGCTGCTCCGATTCGCTGGCCAAACTCACACTCCATTTTCCACCTTGTTAACCAGACCTCAAGGTAGTTGAACTCCTTCACCTGGGGTAAGGACACATTACCTACCCGTAGTAGGCCATCAGTTTCCTGCTGAGAACCATGGAATCAGATTTAGAAGTAGTAGGGACCCCCTCACCCTCACCCCCTCCCACATTATCTCTCGGGGGACCCTTCATACACCTTCTCCAGGACCACAAAAGACATGTAGACTGGCCCACACCATGATCCTTGAGTAGAGAGTAAAGAGCTAGTCCGTCGTTCCACGACCAGGATGAAAACCACATTGTTCCTCTTCAATCCTTGGTTCGACTATTGGCAGAACCCCCCTCTTCAGCACCTTGGAATAGACTTTACCGGGGAGACTGAGTAGGCCGCTGTAATTGGCACACACTCTCTGGTCCCCTTTTTGAAGAGAGGTACCACCACTCCGGTCTGCCACTCTTTTGGCACTGTCCCAGACTTCCACGCAATGTTGAAGAGGCAAGTCACCCAGGACAGCCCCCCAACACCCATTGCTTTCACCATCTCCGGATCGATCTCATCAACCACTGAGGCTTTTCCCCCCGCAGAGTTGTTTGACTACCTCAGTGACCTCCACCAGGCAAATTGACGATGATCCCTTCTCCACCTCCAGCTACTTTTCTACCAAAGATGGCGTAAGTTTGATTCAAAGTGTTCCTTCCACCGGCCTATAACTCCCCCCAGTTGCGGACAACCGGCTCCCATCCTTACTGTAAACAGCTTGGGTGGTTCCCCATTTCCCTTTCCTGAGGTGCCGGATGGTCTTCTAGAAGCACTTTTCCGCCGACCAAAAGTCCTACTCCATAGTTACCCTGAACTCCTCCCACACTCACTGCTTTGCCTCCATCACGGCAGAGGCTGTAGCCCTTCGAGCCTTTCTCCAGAGTCCCACTGGATAACCCGTAACCCGGAAGGCCTCCAACTTCAGGCGGCGGGAAGGACGGCTTCCCTGACCACCGGTGTCCACCACAGGGTTCGAGGGTTAGCACTCCTTGATGGACCTAAGACCTTGAGGCCACAACTCACTGCAGCATATTCAGAAATGGAAGTTTTGAACATACACCACTCTGGTTCAATGTCCCCTACCGCCACAGAAATATGAGAAAAGCTCCGCCGGAGTTGAAAATCTTTTGGACTGGGGCCTCCTCAAGACGTTCCCATTTCACCTTTACACGCTTGGGTTTACTATGTAAACAGCAAGCAGACGAACCGGACTCTGTCTGCCCACACCCTGGAGCATGGTGCTGATCACCGGTCTCCAGTGTTCACAGACATCTTCAACACCTCCCTGGAGATATGCCACATACCAGCCTGCTTCAAAACCTCCACCATCATCCCTGTTCCCAAAGATCACAGGACTTAATGACTACATGCCCGTCGCCCTGACCTCTGTAGTGGTTTGAAGGGCTAGTTCTGTCGCCACCTAAAACCCTCACTGACCCCCTCGCCGACCGCCTCCTGGACCCCCTGCAGTTTGCCTACAGAACCAACGTGTAGTAGACAATGCTGTCAACCGACCGTCCACTTGATCCTATAGCATTTGGACTCCCCAGGAACCAATGGCAGGATCCTCTTTGCGGAGCTCTGCATTCAACAGAATAATCCAGTCTTTGCTGCAGGACAAGCTCTCTAAGATGCACATAACCGATTCCGATACCTGCAAGTGGATCACAGACTTCTGGTCTGACAGGAAGCAGGACGTAAGGCTCGGTCCATCAGCTACGGATCCAAGGCTGTGTTCTTTTTCCCCCCCAGTTCTCTTATGTCTGTACACTAACAGCCGCACGCCACAGAAACAGTATCTTCTCGTCGGCAGTAAGGCTCATTAACAGTGTCTGGGTCCCCGACTGCCATGACACTGACATTCCGTTTTCCTTCCGGCTACTCCCTTCACAATCCACATGCACACACTGGTCACTGTTACTGACAGTTGTTTAGAGTATGGTTATCTGTTCGCCTGTGCACTTTTATTATTATTCTATTGTATATCCCCCTAGCCTACAGCCTTCTATTTATACTGTAGATTTAAATTGTAAATTGAACATGTAATTTTTTATGTTATGTTATGTCTTGTTGTCCATCCTCACTGTCCAATCTCATGAACCAACCGTCATGTCAATTTCCTTGTATGTCTAACATATTATGGCAATAAATGTTCCTGATTCCTTAAAATGCTATTGTACAACAGCCCTGCTTAAAAAAAATCTTCATATTCTGCCCCTTTGTTATTTCAGAAATTAAATCCAGACTGAAAGATTATGAAAACAGTTTGTTGGCGAATTCAGCGGAGCTGGAAGCGACTAAAGCTGAACAGCAGCTGGAGAAGAACAAACTGACGGAGGCCGAGAGAAAGATTGCTGGTAGGTAAATATCAAAAGACTGTAGTTCTAAACCATCTTATAAGGGCGATGAGGAGTACAGTAATTGGCTTCCGTGCTTGTAGTAAAATCAGCAGAACGGGCAATATTAGTTTCCATAGTACAACCTGTGTGGAGGAGGCACAAAATCAGAGGGACGAGGTGAATGGGGTCGTTGTGGTGCAGGGGTAGAGAGGGTGCACTGCGAACCTCAAGGTTGGTGGTTAAAGCCCCATGTCGAAGTGTTCCTGAGCAAGACACCTAACCCCTAATTGCTCCCCAGGGAAGCCATGGGTTACAACTATAATGTAATTTGCTTTGGATAAAAGCGTCAGCTAAAAGCGTCAGCTAAAAATCTTCATCCTCTGCCTTTGTTATTTCAGATCTTACCTC